TGCTATGATTTTTTCCAGAAGTAATGAGCAAATGTGGGGGACAGGCATGTAGCAAAAACTGAGGATGGACATTGGTGAGTATAAAATACCAACGTGGAGCTGTTTCAAAGGCAGGGGTCCCCCAGGCCCCGGGAGTCGAGTCACCGAAAAGCAGAAAAAGACGTGGCGGCTTGACCATTACCTTCCAAAGAGGAACAATCAATTTTTGAAAATAGGGCTAAAAAATGCCCTTGGCCTGTATATGCTGAGATACTAGATCTTGTGTTCTGTGGCCTGTGTCGTAAGCACGGAGTGAAGTCAAGGGAAAATCAAGCGCGTTTCTGCTATGGCACCGACAGCTTCAGAACCGATCTGTCCGTGCGCATCAGGTCAGCAAGGCTCAGGCCGAGGCTGCGCCCACGGGAGCCGTGGACGGTCCTCCGGCGAGCAGAGCCTCCGTGGAGCTGGCAGTGAGGGCCAGGCGCAAAGCAGCCCTCGGGAGAGGCAGGAACTTGCTCAGAGCGGGCCATGCCATCGCCAAGGCCGACATCCCTCGAAGGTTTTATCCGGATGAGCAGGTTGGACGACGTGGAGGGCGTTGATATTGGCCCCGCATTCAGAACTAACAAATCAGCAAGAACATCTGCACGTTTTATTGCTGAAGTAGAGTGGAGAAATCCACGAGAGAGGCTAGAGAGAAGTGATTTTTCCCGTCATCAGTGATGGGCCCTCGGTCAGTTCGGTGCAGGAAGCGAACCGTCTGTTGCCGTTTGCAGTGCAGGAAAAGTGCACTGCCCACTCGCTGGGGTGCACACTGTACAGACGAAGTAGCCTCTGGCCATCAAAATTGCCACTGAGAAAACTCTAGAGAGAAATCTTCAGCTTAGGTTGTCGAACCAAGACTGGGCAGAGAAACTGGGTGGTTTTGGAAGCGATGGTGCCCCCGGCTCAGAGGGAGAAAACCGCAGGGTGGCCTGCTGTTAGGAGAAGTCCAGCCACGCGTGCTGACTGTGTACCGCGTTGCACATCACCGTGACCTGTCTTACGAGGCAGTGTCCAGACTGGTCCCTCGACAGATGTCAGACTCTTCCTACACAGCGCTGCCCACCTCTGCCACAGTCACCTAAGAGTTCTCTGACCACTGCCTTCCGAGGGCGTCACCTCACCCTGGGATGCCCTCTGGAGTTGGGCAGGAGGTGGCTCCAGGGACTCCAAGCAGCCTCCAGAACATCCTCAAGGGACAGCCGGCAATTGTCCCGCACCTGTGTTCAGTAAGAGATTCTGAAAGACCGTGCTATTTCAGTTTCTCAGGATAATAGGAAATGCTTTTATCGAGCCATTTGAAATGATCATTTCCAGGAAGACAGCCCACTATTTTATTCCCAACCTGGATAACAGACGGGTGAAGGCAGATGTGAGACGGGTCATGAGAAAGCCAGAGAGCTTCTAGAGCTCCTTCTCCCAGGAGACGTTGTTGAATTTGTTCGTGTCCTGGTGGATGTCATTAATGTGCTCAGCATTCTGTCCCGAGTCAGCCAAAACAGAAATTCTTCAACTGCGGACGTATTTGCTGCCTCACAGTACTCACTGGAAATGCTCGGAATGTATCAAACAGGGCGAGGGGTCGGGGACGATCTGAGAGATTTGGGAAATCACTTGCCAGGCGCTTTTTCATTTAATGGTCTGTTTGGGGGATTTTGTTTCTCCCCAGACCAGGGCCAAAAGAACACAGGGTGGATTCAGTCTCACACTTTCATAGTCAACTGCCTCAAAGGAAAAGGAAACATTTCTGGTGTGAGAAACACGGTTTTAACACATCTTATCAAAAGGCGGCGAGGCTGGTTCAGAGATGCCAGCCAAGATGTGGCGAAGGCAGCCGTGATTGGAAGCTTTAAACTGTGGCCTGCAAAGATGAATCAAGGCACCCGATGTGCGCTGACTCTGAGCCCGCCGTCCTTTGATCATCTGTGAGAGTGTTTTCTCTATCTGTGACTTGCCGCTGGTATGCTGATGACAGAATTTGGACAAAAAAAGGTGTCCATCCTGATTGCACATCATGAACCAGTATTAGAAGCCGCCAATGTGCAAATCAATGAAGTGATCACTGAGTGGAGCCTGTTGAAGTTAGAGATTTATGCTAGTTGAGCATCAGTAAACTTGTTGATATTTGTAAATTTGGGGTTAGAACTTGGGAGTCTTGATCTTTTACATTTTTCCCTTTCCCTCCTGGGTTTCAGGACATGTGCAGATTGACGTGGGGTTTTGTGAATTCAGTTTGCTCACACAGATATCCGAATATCCTGACACTAGTGGACCTGGTGCCGACCCTCCCGCAAGTTCAGCAGAAGTGGGGCGTGGCTTTGGTCAGATGCAACACACCAAGTCACAAATGCATCCAAGGTCAAGGCCAATAGCATGTGAGACCTCCTGACCATTCAGCTGAATTCTCCACACATTAATAACTTTGACTTCGGGAGAGCTCTCCACTTATGGAGTACAAGAATGCCATCTTCAACTGGTGCACAAGACCCAGTTCAGATTCCTCATCAAACTCAGAAAGCCATTATGAAAGTGATCAGTGATAAGACAGATGTTGACTTCATCTTTGATCATAGCAGAAACAACAATTTATTTTTAAAAGCCTGAAATTTCAAAGTAAAACCATCACCAGGGTTTGCATCGAAGACAAAAAGCTTTTGGTATCTTCCAGACATACAAAGCAAAAATTGGCTTTCCAGTAGCTTTGTAATTCTGCTTTTATCTTCACACATTCTTTTATAGTCGTCCGTGGAAATGTATATTTCTAAGCAACTTTCGGAGAGTTATGTATACAGATCATATCACTATATGCCTTGGTCATTTAATTAACAGGACAAATATTAAAATAGTTCTTTACAGTTCTCACTAATATCCCTAGATAAACAATTCCTACGTAACTAAAAGTATTGTCTTATAGCCCAGGCCACTGTGATGCAGTTGGTTGGATGGTTGTCCACGCACCTGAAGGTCATGGATTCGATTCCCAGTCAGGGCACATACCTAAGTTTTAGGTTCAATTCCCAGGCAGGATGAGATAGCCCATCAGTGTTTCTCTCTCACGTTAATGTTTCTGTGTGTGTGTGTGTGTATATATGTCCCTCCCCTCCTCCCTCTCTAAAAAGAAAAGTATTGTCTTACAACACTTTTCTTGTACCATGGCTATTAGAGACAGTAGAAATAGTTTATACATCTACCAGAATTGTTAAATACCTCGAGCCTCTTCACAGTTTCAGAAGAGTATTTTTTTTTTTTATGGTTTTACATTGAGGAACATGAATGATTTATTTCTAACTTATCTAAACACCAATGCAGTAGAATTTTGCTAAAAATTCTACTACCTTGGGCCCTGGCCAGTTTAGCTCAGTGGTTAGAGCGTCAGTCTGTGGTCCACAGAAACCCGGGTTCGGTTCCCGCTAAGGGCACGTACCTCGGTTGCAGTTTGTCCCTGGCCCTGGTTGGGTCATGTGGGTGGCAACCACTCGATGTGTCCCTTTCACGTCGATGTTTCTCCCCCTCTCTCTCCTTCCCACTCTATCTGAACAAACTATCAAAAAATGTCCTCTGGTGAGGATAAAAAAAAAAAAAAAAGAAAAGAAAAAGAAAATTCTACTATCTTGGAAAGTATTCTCATCTTGCCCTGGCCAGTTTGGCTCAGCAGTTGGAGTGTCGGCCTGCGGACCAGAGAGTCCCGGGTTCGGTTCCCGCTAGGGGCACGTACAAAAACAAACAAACAAAAAAGCAAAACAAAAGAAAGTATTCTCATCTCTATAAAATTGAATACTCAGGTTTGATTTTAAAAATTAAAAACAGATAAAGAATGTATTTCTGAACAACTAGCTAGCTGACCAGTCATAACAAGGAAGAAAATATTTTGCTCTTGCTACCCAGAAAATTACCTTCCAAATCTCAAAATTGTATATTTGGTTTGAACCACTGAAATTTTAAAAGGATTATTGCATGTTCCTGAAGGTTACAGGAAATTATAAAATTTATTTTGGACTTTTATGAATGCTAAAATTTTAGATGTAAAAAGAAAATTTTGAGATGCCACACCTATAGTTTTCACTCTTTTTATCTCTAAACTAAGAATAGCCATATACTCTGGGCCTGAAAGATGCCCAATACATGGAGGAGTCTCTTCAGCTCTAGAAGCCACCTCTGCTATGGGAGTTAGATGTTTTTTAAGTAGATTTATTTATTTTGCCTTTCTATTTTTTTTTTTAATGCATTTGAAATGAGAAACAGACTAAGCAGATATCTCTGTTAGGGTAAAGTAGATTAGTATATAAGAGCACAGCATTTAAAAGGTAGGTAATCTTTTAAAAATATTTTGAAGTAGTGAGCCAGTTGTATGATTAAATTAACACTTCCAATACAATAGTCTAACAGTTCAAATCTCCCTACCTTTATGAAAACAAATATATTCTAATCTAAGGAGTAAAATGAGGCCCTGGCCGGTTTGGCTCAGTGGTTGGAGCGTCGGCCTGCGGACCAGAGTCCCGGGTTCGGCTCCCGCTAAAGGCACGTACCAAAAAATAAAATTAAAAATTAAAAAAAATAAAAGACTAAAATGAGGATAAATGTGTTACCCGCATAACTGTAGTGATTTGCATACCTTTGAAACACTTTTATCCCATATTTTCCAAAACATTTTACTCATATCCTACTGTATAATAGGAAAGCTTAGAGTATTTTTAAAAATTGAACTGATTCAGAGTAAAAGGCAAAAACAAAAACAAAAAAACAACTCCAAACTAAAATATGAAGTCCCAGTATTTTTCCCAATCTGTGATGATTTGTTACTTAGCCAAAAAAGACATTTTGACTTAGCTGAAAGGAAATCTTGGGAGAGCCTCAGGAAATTGACTATTATTTTTGTGTTTTCAACATGTCTTCTACTTTTCTAAGGGTTACTGTTTTAAATACTATTAATAAAGTGATTCCCCATCACATAACTGACAAATATTTTTATTGTATTATAGGCATAATAGGAAATAAAGCATTTACTGACATTCTTCTTGACTTGGTAACCCTGAATCTCGGGACAAACAGCCTTCCTAGTAGTTGGATGCACCTCACTCAACCTGAAGTAAGTATCCCTTTGGTTTGGGTTTCAAAGCTTTGAGAGGTTTTATTTGATCAATAAATCAATGGTTTTCAAAATAACCGGTTACTTGCACAGTATCTGACATTTAGTAGGCAACCGGTAACAACTGAATGATTAAGTGAATGAACTTTAACTTAAGACACACGGTCAGTATTGGAGGAAGCCAACAGTCCATGAAGCATTACAGAGTCCCCGAGGCTCACCCCATAAGTTTGCATCCATTCCACCTGACGGAATGATTCTGACTAGTAGAGGAGACCACTCAGACAGCTCTTGCTTTTCATCACATTCCGTTTCTCAAGAATGTATCCGAAAACCAAGTGGTTAAAAAGCAGTTTCCTGCGGGCTGTGTGCCTGGCACAGCCACCACTCACTCCTGTCCCTCCTCTGCAGAAAAGGTGCAGAGTCAACCGCGGACGTGTGTATGCATTCGCCATGTGACAGTAAACAGACACAAAAATGTCAGAGAAGCAAAAGGTGAAACACGTTCTCGGTAGTGCCTGGTGCAGAGCGGTTGGTAGAACTTGAGGGAAGGTGAGAACCCGCTCGGTTCACCCATCTGAGACCCTACTTCCTCCATCCGAATCTCTGACCAAGAAACACGAGCAGATAGAGCTTCACGACAGACTCGTAGCACCCATTCCAATGGCATTTCCTGTTTTCTTCTAGTTGCAGGAGCTAACATCTTTACTGACGGTAAACTCGGAGTTCGTGGACTGGCGGAAATTCTTGTTAGTGACCTCGCTGCCTTGGCCCATCCCCCTGGAGGAGGAGCTCCTGGAGACCCTGCAGAGGTTCAAGGCTGTGGACGAGGAGCAGTCGGGCTTGGTCACTTTCAAGCAGTACATGCAGGTCGCTGTCAACACCCAGTGGCACCAACACCAGACTCCTTTCCCCCTCTGGAGCAGAATGTAGCTGGTGATCTTTACCAGAGCAATTTTGGTAGAGAACAGAATGCAGATTGCACAGGGCTGAGGAAATGACTAGGTCTTTAGGAAGTGAGAATAAGAAAAAGGCTCATTTTTGAGAAGTTTCAGTAAGGAAGTAGTGAGAGTGAAATCCCCAAACTAAGAAAGGCCAGCATTGCTTATTTCGTGACTACTAATGAATTCATCCTGTTCTCCCCATTCCGCATTGCTGGCAGACACAAGGTGGGCGAGTTTTTAATCCCTGATTTTCAAACAGGGGTGCCCTCTGCGTACCAAAGGTCACATCCCACCTGCATCTCTTTTCTCCCCTAATGAATGCCAGCCCTGAGGTTCTCAAACTGCACGGTTGAGCAAGAGGAAATAGCACTTACATGTTGAGACGATTCCTTGGAGGTTGATCAGAAAATGTGCTTAACTGATTCGGCTCTGATTCATCTCCCAAGTAGAGCCATTTATGAGATCTATTACCGTCCTGAACTTACAACTCGTGAAGATGCTAATCGTTGGCTTAAGACTTTAAAAAGTGTGCCAGTTAACACAGGATATTGATTTGAACATCCTTTTTCACAAACATGAACCGAGCAGAGGGTGTTAGGGATGTTTGCCCGAGAGCTGAGTCCAAAGCCAGAAACTCCTTTACCCACGGTGTGAGTTTCTTAGAGAAGGCTGGAGCTGTGTTTGATGGAAACTCAGAAATACTTACTTGGATGCCACCTGCATTTGGGGAGCAGCTGATTTCTTAGCTCTGCCCTCTCCTCTTGCCCCTGCTGTCCCCACCCCTCAGAAGCCCCAGGACTGGAGGTCATTTGGAGAGGCTCCTTTGACCACCCCACATCATGACATTTACAGATTTCTAATACTCACCAGCTCATCCCTCCCAAAAAAGTTATGTTATGGGAAAAGTTAACACAGCTTCTGAGGCAAGATTGTGTTAAGATTTATTGAAAATGCCACATTAGAACAGTACAACAGTATCACCGCATTGCTGAGATGAAGTTTTCTGGGAGAAAGAGGCTCTCTCCTCTGCTTTTTGTTTTGTCTGTCTTTTTTCTTTTCTTTTGACTAATTGCGAGTTCACCACAACAGCCACATAAGAGTGTGCCGATTTCCCCGGCTCCTAAAATGGAAGGAGATGCAAGTGTGTGAGTCAGGGCTGTGCACCCCAGCTGAGCCTGCTGCAGCTGTCCTGCCCTGCCCTGCCGGTGTGTGTTCAGTCGCACTCGCGGACTTCTTTGATGCTAGCTCTCGGCTCATCTCCTCTTGGTGAGAATGCATATTACAGGCTCAGTGAGTCAGACCTTCTAGGAGTCAGACAGTGCAGAGCTTATTTTCTAAGGAAAAGTGAAAAAGAAAAAAATCCTTTGGCCATATTTTGTCAAGAGAGTTCAAAGGGCATGTCCACATTTTAAGGAGAAATTATCCAGTGAGGCAGGATGTGGTAGACTGAACCTTGCTTTATCGATGTAAGCCCTACTGTACAGGTTCACAGTGAACATTTCATATTGTAAAAATTTTCATGGATGACTTTTTAAAAACCATAAGTTGTTTTCCAGTTAGGATATTTTTCTTTTCTATTGAGGCCCTCCTGTGTATGAAACTTTTTTTTTTTTTTTAAATCCTCACCTGAAAATATGTTTTTTGTTTTTCTTTTTTTATTGTTTTAGAGAAAGGAAAGGAGAGAGAGGGAGAAAGAGAGAAACGTCAATCTGTTGCCTCCCATATACACCCAACCTGGAATCAAACCTGCAACCTAGGTATATGCCCTGACCTGGAATTGAACAGCAACCTTTTGGTGCAAGGGACAATGCTCCAACCAATGGAGCCACCTGGCCAGGGCATGTGTGAAACATTTAAAACAGTTTTATAGTTTATGATATATTATAAACTTTTAGAAAACTAACATAAATGAACCATTGGTTTTAGGAATCAAAGAATTTTTCTGTGCATTGAAACCACTAAACATGGAGTTAAGAGTCAGTTGAGTGATGGGAAAAAGGGGGAGGGATCCTATTTCTGTTTCTTTATTTCCCCTCTGGCTTCTTTTACTATTTTCTCTTTATTACCACTTTTTAGCAGTTTGATTATTTTGTTTTTTGGTGTCGTTTTTTGTGTTTTTTTGTTTTTTTTTAATTGCTTGGGATTCGTTGGGCTTCTTGAATCTGTGGGGTTTTAGTTTTTATTTAACTTGGAAATTTTTCAGGATATTTATTCCAAACATTTTTTCTGCACCTTCCACCTTCTCAAAACCCAGTCACATGTTTATTGTTCCGCAGGTCACTGATGCTTGGCTTATTTTTTCCTGTCTTATTTCTCTGTACTTTATTTTGTATTCATTTCTATTTCTGTGTCTTCAAGTTCACTGATTATTTCTTCTGCAGAGTCAAATCTATTATTAACATCATCTACTGTATTTTTTTTTTTTTTTTTAAATTTCAGGTACTGTATTTTTTTATCCCTTAGAAGTTCAGGTTGGGTTTATTTAGTATCTTCTATTTTTTGCTTCACTGTATGCATGTTTTCCTGCACATCCCTGGACAAATGAAATGTATTTAAAAGAGCTAAGTGAACATCACCTCGTTTGTCCATCCTATCATCTGTGTTACTTCTGTGTTCATTTCTATTGATTGATGTTTCTTCTGGCTATAGGTCATATTTCCTAGCTTTTTTTGCATGCCTAGTAACTTTTCATTGGATGCCAGATATTGTGAATTTTATATTGTTGGATGCCCAGTTTTGTGTACTTTAAATATTGTCAGACACACAGTGCTTTTACTTGGAATCAGTTTTATCATTTCAAGGTTACAGTAAGGTTTGATTGTCAACAATCATTTGACCATGTGTGCAAGGATTAATTTCTGGGCTTTCTGTTCTATTCCATTGGTCTAATTCTGTCTGTATGCCAGTAACACACTGTTGTGATAACTATAGTTTTATAGCAAGTTTTGAAATCAGGAAGTGTGAGTCTTTTAGCTTTGTTTGTCTTTTTCAGGATTATTTTGGTTATTTGGGGTCTCTTGAAATTCCATATGAATTTTAAGATGTCTTTTTTTTTTAATCTCTGCAAAAAAAAAAAAAAATGTCATTGGGATTTTGGTGAGAAGTACATTGAATCCATAGATCACTTTGGGTAGTATTTGCATCTTAACAATATTGTCTTCCATTCTATAAACACAGAATATCTTTCCATTTATTTAAGTCTATTTTAATTTCTTTAAGCAATGTTTTATAGCTTCCACTGTACAAGTCTTTCATTTCCTTGGTTAAGTTAATACTTAAGTATTTTATTCCTTCTGATGCTATTGTAAATGTAAATGTTTTCTTAATTTTCAGATTATTCATTGATAGTCTACAGATATGCAACTAATTTTTAGGTGTTGATTTTGTATCTTGTCACTGTTGAATTTATTTATTAGTTATAACAGTTTTTTTTAAATAACGATTTGCAAGAGTGGGTCCAGAGCAGCCTTTACTGTAGGGCAAATCTGGCCCAACCACTAAGGCAGTATCTCCCCAATGCCTGATGTATTAGGAGGTCCTTCCACTCTACCTGGGGGCAATATGAACTATTCCCAGCCCTGTGTGTCTCAGGAATTGTTCGGCTTACTCCCTCACTGTGGTTTTTCCCCAACTTCTGGTATTTTCCACCCACACATATCTACAGATTGGTTTTCCATCAAGATGTGAGGAGATCCCTCTGAAGATTTTGAAGCCTCTCTCTCTCTCTCTCTCTCTCTCTCTCTCTCTCTCTCTCTCTCTGTCCCTCTCTAGTATTATGCCATGAAAATTCTAGCCATCTTGGCCTCCTTCAACTCCAAACTGTCTTGTCAAATCAACAAGGCTCCCAGGCTCCACCTGGATGCCCTCCGGGCACTGCAGCCTGGGAGCTCCCTCCAGGCTGGAACAATGGTGGGGACCCTCCTCTTCATCTTCCCATCAGCAACGCTGTCTTGTGGTGTCTGTTGTCGAATGTCTGGAAACACATGTATCATATATGTTGTCCATATTTCTTGTTATTAAGGCAGGAAGGTAATTCTGAACTTTGTTACTTCATCATGTTCTAAAGCATATATCCTACTTCTCTCTATTCTCCCAGAGAGTGATACTTACCCCAGATTAGTCCCTGGGCAAGGGTCTCCTCCTGGTCAGTGCAAAAGCACTTACATTCAAAGCCTAGGCCCATGCTGGACCTTGAGTTGCTTCTGAGTCTTTTTCCTCATAGGCTTTCATATAGCCACATCTCCCTCCCTAGCACGCCTTTGTTCCAAATGAAAATGAAACCTGGTCCTCACCTCTGGGGGCTGCATCCCCTTACCAGCTACCCAATGTCATTTAAGACTTCTCTCAAAGCACAGGTAATTCTTAGAAGGAAAGAGGGCATAAACCATAGACCAGAGTCAGGTTAAGCAAGCCAATGGCTCTTGGCAGTAGGCAGTGCTGAGAGTAGGTTGTCACTCGGGAAGATGTTAGGGGAGCGAGACCTAGGAACAAAATCCTTATGTTTATGAAGTGCTGACCATGTGTAAAAATTAAGCTTGTCAAGACACTTTCTTTGAACTCAAGGAATTTAATTCCTGATTTTCAATAGCAGGCATGAATGGCAGCATTCAAAGGAATGGACTAAATGCCAAATGTGTGGTATGAACAAGTTAAAGTTCTTAAGTGAGATCAAGGAGGGCCTTCTGGAAGAGGTGTGATCTGAACCAAGTCTGGAAAGATGTGTAGGTTCACATGGGTGGACAGGAAGTCACCTCAGGTAGGAGAAATGATGTGAATGAAAAAGTGAGAGTAGGCCCTGGCCGGGTAGCTGAGTGGGTTAAAGCATCGTCTCGATATGCCAAGGTTTCGGGTTCAATGTCTGGTCAGGACACATACAGGAAGCAAACAATGAATCCGTAAATAAGTGGAACAAGAAATCTCTCTCTCTTCCTAAAAATTGATTTTTAAAATAAGGAAGACAGAAAGAGTAAGAGTGGAAAACAGTCTGAGCAGTGACTGATAGGACAAGAGTTAAGCTTCGGGAAGATTGATATGGTGCCTGGTACAAGCTAAAACAAATAAGAGGGAGGCTGGGAACACAAGTAGCTCTGCAGTTGCTGGGTGGCCTGTGATGACGTAATGAGGCCCTAGACCAGTGTTGCAGCTGTGGGAACGGATGGGAGGGAAAGATGGGCGAGGCACTGCCAAATGGAACAGGATTTTGTAACTGGTGTTAGATATGGGCTGAGAAACAGCAATGTCAGTGAAAAAGGAAGCCTCTGAGCCCTTGAGTCAGCCAGTTACGGAGCAAAGATTTTCCAGGACCAGCAATGTGCACCAGCACCACCCCAGGCTCTGAGAGCAGACAGATGGTGCGGAATGTGAACTGCCGGCTCGGGTGTAGGCCTCTCCGAGTACCGCTCTGCGAGCGAAATCCAGGGCAGTGATCTCCAAGCTTCATCCCCTGTTCCAAGTTCAAACACAGCTAGCATCCCTAGTACGAGCCTTTTCATTTATACATTTTACATGTGTACTACTGCACTGATGCATTATACACATTATCAAGTTTTTAAAACTAAAAATTACAAAAGCATCAGATCAAAAGACATGTAAATGTTAGTTCTAGTATTTTCTCCTGCATCCCCATGGCTTCTTCAGCCTACTTTATTTTTTTTTATAATTTTATTTTATTTTATTATTTTTTTTTTAATCCTCACCCGAGGATATTTTTCCATTTTTTGTACAGATAGAGTGGGAGGGAGAGAGAGGAAGGGAGAGAGAGAGAGAAACATCGACGTGAAGGGACACATCGAGTGGCTGCCACCCTCACGACCAACCAGGGCCGGGGACAAACTGCAACCGAAGTACGTGCCCTTAGCGGGAACCGAACCCGGGTCTCTCCGGACCACAGGCCGACGCTCTAACCGCTGAGCCAAACTGGCCAGGGCACTTCAGCCTACTTTAGACACCTGCACAAGGTGGGTTAGTCTCTGTGGCTTTTAAGGAACAATTACATCTCAGCATGATACATTATTAATTTTGATTCTTATTTTTTTGTAGGCTGGTCTGTGGTTTACAGGGGATGAAGATATAAAAATTCCAGAAAATCCTCTTGAACCGCTGCCATTCAATCGGCAGGAGCATCTTATAGAGGTAATGACTGAGGTCTTTAATTTTTTTTTATTTTTAAAAAAGCACTTTGCCCTGGCATGGTGGCTCAGTTGGTTGGAGCGATGTTTCACATACCAAAAGGTCTTGGGTTTGATTCCTAGGCACATGCCAAGGTTGCAGGCTCAATTCCTAGGCACACGCCAAGGTTGCAGGCTCAATTCCCAGGCACGTGCCAAGGTTGCAGGCTCAATTCCTAGGCACACGCCAAGGTTGCAGGCTCAATTCCCAGGCACACGCCAAGGTTGCAGGTTCAATTCCCAGGCACATGCCAAGGTTGCAGGTTCAATTCCCAGGCACACGCCAAGGTTGCAGGCTCAATTCCCAGGCACACGCCAAGGTTGCAGGTTCAATTCCTAGGCACACGCCAAGGTTGCAGGCTCAATCCCTGGTTGGGGGTTGTACAGGAGGCAATCAATTGATGTTTCTCTCTCACCTTGGTGTTTTTTCTCTCCTACCCACCCCCTCTCTAAAATCAATAAAAACATATCCTTAGGTGAGGATTAAAAAAAATTGTTCAGTACTTTTGACATTGATCAATTTCTTTGTCTTTTCTTCCACTTGTGTAATTTGTTTTAGACACCACTGTCACCCTCCAGTTCCTTCGCCGTGTCCCCTGGGCAGACTTGAACACTCACTATGCACCAGCAGAGGAGCCAGGGGGGCGGGCTTGGGGCCAAACCCTTAGACCTGCTGCTGACTCTCCATGTGATCCCAGACAATTTCCACGGCCTCTCTGGTTTCTTTCTTCTCACCTGTCAAATAAGCTAAGATGTCACTCACCACATTTGTCTCTAAGTGTCCTTCCAATTCTAAAAGCTTAGGATAAAAACTGCCACTTTACCAATATATGTCTTTGTTCATTCCTTTCTGTTTTGACTAACATGTACTACATACATACCAAGAATTGCATACGGTATTGCCCATGGCCCATCAGACTTTTATTGTTATCAAAAATGTTACTATTATCAATAGTAATTGTTGATGATAGTACCATGATAGTGGTAATATGTTGATAATAATAATAACAGTATTAATATTATTATTACCTTCTATTCCTACGGCCACAAGAGGAAGCAATACCTTAAAATCTAAAAACTACTCTGACTTCAGTGTAAAAGTTTGAAATATCCTAATATGCCAAACCATAAAAGATAGAAGAGCTGCAGACATCACAGCAAACTGTGCGTATTGATCGCTCAATTTCCAGCCAACCGTTAGTCCGACATTGCGGAGCAACACTGAACATGACTCCAGTTGTAACCTCAGGGGGCCGTTCCCTCCAGGCGGATGCAGTTCCTGAGCAGACCTGCTGGAGCCAGCAGGAGGGCAGGGGGCAGGGTGGCTGAGACCGCAGCACCGGAGGCTGGCCTTTCGGGGCATTTTCACCACGGGACACCGGGTGACTGAGGTCGTTTCTCCCGTGAGGCTTGGGGAGGCCGTCCCTCCGAGATCTGCAGCAAGAACAGGGTCTTCACTGAGAAGAAATCAGCAGACTGGATAGCACCTTCCTTTCCAGGCAGAAGTTTGTAGAAGTGTCAGACGAATACCATGTGATCTCACTTATATGTAGACTCTAATGAACAAAATAAACTGACGAACAAAATAGACACACAGACGTGGATACATGTTGACTGACAGATGTCAGAGGGGAGGGGCTAGGGGGCTGGATGAAAGAAGGGGAAAGAATTAAGCAAAAAGCATATTTGCGTCGCCCACGGACACAGTGTGGCGCTGGCCGGAGGGAAAGGAGGTGGGAGGCGGGCCGAAGGGAGGAGAACGGGCGGAGAGAGGCTGTGCTGGGGCGAGGGGCACCCGATGCACTGTGCGCGTGACGTTTTGTTGAGTTGTACACTTGAAACCTGTCCGCTTTTGTGAACCAATGTCACCCCAATAAATTCAACTTTAAAATTTTAATTTAATTTAACTTAAAAAGGACATCAGTCAAGGGCAGAGCCTCTTAGTTGCTCACCCAGCTGCTAAAGCCAGAAGGCGGGCGGTGTGGGTCAGCCCCCGGACCGTGACAGTGAAGCAGGAGGGGCCTTTGGGCCCCAAGGAAGGGAGTGGCTCCCACCTGCTGCTGCCCCAACTGCTGAAAAGTGACAGAGGGGAAGAGACAAAGTTGGGAGCAGAGGCAGGACTGTGAAGCCTCAGAAAGAAGTGCTCTCATGGGGCAAAGGATGGGTGATTGGTGTGTGTGTGAGTGTGTGTGAGTGTGTGAGTGTGTGTGAGTGTGTGAGTGTGTGTCTGTATGTGAGTGTGTGTGTGTGAGTGTGAGTGTGTGTGGGCGTGTGTGAGTGGGTGTGAGTGGGTGTGGGTGTGAGAGTGTGTGTGGGCGTGTGTGAGTGTGTGTGGGTGTGAGGGTGTGAGTGTGTGTGGGCGTGTGTGAGTGTGTGTGTGGGTGTGAGTGTGAGAGTGTGTGGGCGTGTGTGAGTGTGTTAGTGTGTGTGGGTGTGAGTGTGTGAGAGTGTGTGTGGGCGTGTGTGTGTGGGTGTCAGTGTGTGAGTGTGTGTGGGCGTGTGTGAGGGGGTGTGAGTGTGTGGGTGTGAGAGTGGGTGTGGGTGTGTGTGAGTGTGTGTGAGTGTGAGTGTGTGTGTGTGAGAGAGTGTGTGTGTATATGTGAGAGTGTGTGTGTGTGTGTGGGCGTGTGTGAGTGTGTGTGGGTGTGAGTGTGTGAGAGAGTGTGTGTGTGAGTGTGTGGGTGTGAGTGTGTGTGTGTGTATATGTGTGAGTGTGTGTGAGTGTGAGTGTGTGGGTGTGTGTGTGTGTGTGTGGGTGTGAGTGTGTGGGTGTGAGTGTGAGTGTGTGTGAGTGTGTGTGTGGGTGTGAGTGTGTGAGTGTGTGTGAGTGTGAGTGTGTGTGAGTGTGAGTGTGTGTGTGTGGGTGTGAGTGTGAGTGTGTGAGTGTGGGTGAGTGTGTGAGTGTGAGTGTGTGAGTGTGTGTGTGTGGGGGGGTGAGTGTGTGTGAGTGTGGGTGTGTGGGTGTGAGTGTGTGAGAGTGTGTGTGGGCGTGTGTGTGAGAGTGTGTGAGTGTGTGAGTGGGTGTGAGTGGGTGTGAGTGTGAGAGTGTGTGTGTGTATGTGAGAGTGTGTGTCAGTGTGTGTGTGTGTGTGTATGTGAGAGTGTGTGAGTGTGTGTGTGTGTGTGTGTGTGTGTGTGTGTGGTATCCAGAGGACACAAAAAGAGGAAGGGGTGGCGTTTCCCATCCCTCTCTGTCTCAGGCTCTGGATGCTCAGCATTACATACATTTTCATGTTCTGAAACTGGAATTAAAAGCACAGATTCCACTGCTGACCAATTCTGAGGTCTTGATGAAGTGACCTAACCTCTCTCTGTGCCATTTTGACCCCTCTCCGATGGGGCTGCTGTGGAGAGTGAGTGAGTGGCCCTGTCGGTGTTAGCTGAGCAGACGCTAACCTCGCTAACTATACGCGGGAAAGCGCGGTTAATGGTTAACATGCTGCAGAGAGATGCGAAGAGAAAACGTAAAGCAAGTTTCCTTTGCTGGCTGTAAGGAGAATAGGAAAGACCAAATCGGGGGGGGGGGGGGCGGATGCCCCAAGAAGAGGGAATTCTGAGGTCAGGATCCTCGGCCTCAGTTCTTAATTCTGCTGGGACTCACTGGATCCTCTCCAGGAGAAGGTGTAGGCTGCAGTCTGAGGTCCCTCCAGCTCTCCAGCTTTGTCACTTGTGCTTTCCATGATCCAGGGTGCCCTGAGCCACCTCCAGCAGGGGCCCCTGGAGACAGCTCATGACCCCTGTCCGAGGGCCTGGATGACTCAGGGTCCAGGCACTGGATGGAAGGCCCAGCTGCATCCCCCAAAAAGGAGCCCTGGGACCTGCCTCTGTTGCTGTCAATCATTGTCCCCGATAGTGACAATATCCAGTGACTGACGAGGTTCAGCAGGCTCTGTCCTGGCTTCCCAGTTTCCCACACACTCAACACCCCGAGCACTACTCCGTGTTTTAGAAATCCTTAGGGATTTCCTGAGAACAGTCCGTTGACTTTTACTATATTCAAATTCTCCACAGCTTCTGTCCATGTGAAATTCTCCCATCATTCTATTAATATTTGTTGAAGCCAAGCACATGGTTTGAAGTACTAGCCATTTGCTAACAAATCCCAAATGTCTATTTCTACCCCAAATCTGTCTTTCAAGTGTTAGACTCCTAGCTGCACTTTCCGTTTGACACCTCCACTTGAATGTTCCAGTGGACACCCACACTGGCCACATGCAGAACAGAGTCCCTGACCTCCCATCCCCGCCACCCGCCCACCGTCCCCATCCCCAGCGCAGTCAGCAACTCTGCCCTTCCAGGCGCTTAGGCCAAAACCCCAGGAGTCACCCCCAGTTCTTCTCTTTGTTTCAAAACCCACATCCAATCCCTCGGGACGATCTGGTAGACAGAATACCAGGATCAGACCACTTCTTCCAAGCCCCAGTCAAAAGCCTCATGATGTTTCCCTGTCTCTCCCTTTTCCTGGCTCAGACTGCAGGCGATCACGGCGGCCCCTGCTCAGACCGTCCCATAGCTTTGCCTGTGACCCCGAGGGAAAGCGGAAGTCCTGGGACGCCAACCTGGCTGTGGTCTGACTGTTCCCCTGCTCTCACCCCACCTCCTGCTGTTCTGCCCCTGGCCCAGCTGTCCCGGCTGCACTGGCCTCCTGCTTGTCGGTCAAACACGCGAGACATACACCCACCGAGCGACAGTGGCCTCCGCAGCCCCTCTGCCTGTCTCTTACCTGGGATGTCCTCAGTCCCTGCCCCTCCAAGCTTTGTTCAAATTTCAGCTTCTCAATTTTGCCATCTACCCCCCGCCCCCACTCTCAGGTCCCCTTTGGTTGGCCTACATTTTTTTCTACGTTTCCATAATCATTATCTAATTTACTTGATTTATTTTATGTATTCTCTTTTTTCTGTCCTCCCCTTCAAGAGCAGGCATCTTTCTCTCTTTCCTGGTAAATGCATTTCAAGCACCTAGAAAGGTCCATGCCTCGCACACCGAAGATGTTCAACACCGATGTATTTCCTCACAGTTTTTGTAAGTCGGAAGTCCAGGCCTGGCTTAGCGGGTGCTTTGTTCAGGGTCTCGCGAGGCTGAAATCAAGAAATCAGTTGGGCTGCATCCTCAGCGGAGGCCAATTGCAAGCTGGTTTCAAGTCCGGCTTCCGAGATGGGTTGTTGGCGGACTTCAGACCGGGCAGCTGCAGGGCTGAGCGCTCCAGCTCCCAGAGGCTGCGCTGCCCCGGCCACGTCTCAGGCGCCCCGCGTCTGGCGGGCTTCAGCTCTCTCCCTGAGGGCTGGGCGTATTAGAGGGCTTGCCTGATGAAGGCGGGCTCAGTGTCAGGCTCCCTTTTGATGAACTCAGAATCAACTGAATAAGAACTTTAAGGTCCTACAAAATCCTTTTACCTTCGCCATGGAAGGTAACCTCCTCGTGGGAAGGACTCTCCCACCACATTCATGGGTCCCACACACTCAAGGGGAGGGGAGTGTACAGGAGATGTGCTCCAGGGGTTGGATCCTTTGAGGCCTTCTTAGAATTCTGCCTATTATAATACTTTAAACTTTGTTAATTGATTTGGAGAGAGGTGGGGGGGGCGGGGAGAGAGAGATTTGTTGTCCCACTTATTTCTGCATTCATTGGTTGCTCCTTGTATGTGCCCTGACCAGAGATCAAGCCTGCAACTTTGGCATGTTGGGGTGATGCTCTTACCAACTGAGTACCCAGCCAGGGCCCCGCTACAACAGTTTCAATGATCATGAGAACATAGCAAGCCTTACCTTTTCAGAACGTCCAATTCATTGATTTCATAAGCCTGCGTAGTTACAGAAAGTGTCCACATATCAACCTATTTTATTTTCACACCTTTCTCCAAGACATCACATTCCATGTCTTTGTTAACAGAATAATGATGTGTTGTACCAGCATAGTACTTATCAGAGTAATTCAATAGAAATAATATGAAAGTTCAGTGATTCGTGTGAAAGAAATGAGAGCCAAGCACCCAGGACAATGCCATGGCCGTGTGTCTCAGTGTCCACCCCCTCTACTTCCGGTCCTGCTGGAAGTCCCTGCAGTAACTCGATGGCCAGTGAGAAGATGAGAAAATGCACAGTCCTGGATGAACCCACCAGCTGGATCATGACCCCTGGAAAACCTAAGGATGCCTTAGCATCAGAGGGTGTTTTCAAACATCTCAGCCTAGCCCTGTGCCTAGCTTACAGCAGACACTCAGTGAATGTTTGATGAAGGGGTGTCTGAATGAATGAACTTGCAGATCCCATCAAACTCTATGCTTCTTTTCTGCTTTGTTGACACAACAGATTCTATGCATTTTCCAATCAAAGTTTTTTCCATTTAAATTTTTGTTAGATGTGTCAAATCTCTGAAATTTCTTTTTTCAACTTCACGTGTGCCTGGTTAAATTTGCTCACCGTTGTGAAGGTGGTTGGTGATAGAGAACAGCTTGGTCTCTCTGGACCAAGGCCAGGCCCAGCACACTGGAATCACCTGGGAGCCTGCTAAACCTGCGGAACCCTGGCTGCTCCAGAACCACCTCCTTCTCTAGAACCTGCATTTTTAAAAGCTCCTCCAGGTCCTTGATGCACGTGTTGGAGAAGAGCCAGCCCCTCCCCAAACAACACCGCACAGGACTTAGGTGTGGCCTGTGTGTCCAGGTCAGGGCATCAGCTTTGCAGGGCCCCAGAGGATGTTAGGTTCCCAAGTGCCAGCCAGGCCAGCGACGCTCAGTGCGCAGCACACGCTGTCCCTGGAGGCGAGCCCGCGCTGAAGAGTCACAGTGCTGTCCGCAGTGAGTGTGGAGTTCAGAGCAAGGTGAGCCAGGGTCAAGATTTCAGTGGCCAGAGTCCCCACAGAGAGGGGTGGACCAGAGCTTCGTGTTCAGAAGTCAGGGCCCAGTTTGTCAGGATGGCGCTGAGGACAGACAGAGGGGTCCTTGCTCTTGGGGTTCCCTTTTCCTACTTAACAGGCAGCCCCAGCCATCTTTCTTAGCACATTTTCCCTAAAGATGTCAATACCATCGATTAGCCTGCAGTTTTCTTTACCATTAGAATTTCGAGCCTGACTTTTTATGATTTTTTTTTTTAACTTAGCATGCTCTTCATTTAATACCATCCACTCTATGTTAGTTTTACTGGTGCTGTCCTCAGAAAGTGACCTCGTTCTACAGCTGCTGGAGGAAGGGTGTCTTCATGGCCTGCCTGGACTCACTACTGGGCTACATGCATTTTCTGTTTGACTGAAATTATTTTTGTGTGGCAGTTTTTTTTTAGGCTCTTTGCTGACCCTGAGAAGGACCCACCCCTGCTTGACTACACGCAGATGCTGCTTTATTTTGCTTGCCACCCACACCCTGTGGAAGGGGTCTACAGGGCCCTCAGTGTGGCTACTGGGACTCATATCTTCCAACCGATCAAAACCGCTACTCCTCCTGCAGAAGAGGTAATTGAGTTCCAGAAACAGACCAGCACTGGGGTTTGGAGTGGGTGTCAGGAGATCCTAAACCTCTAACAACGACTGTCTTCTTTTCATGTCCGCATTTCCCTGGGCACCTAACACAATGCTTTACAGACACAGGTCTTCAATAAGGTCTTCTTCTATTAGACTAAGAACTAAGGACCCACTGGCACAGAAAAAAATGCTATTATGCTAAAATCAAAATTTGCTCAGCCCTGGCCGGTTTGGCTCAGCGGTTAGAGCATCGGCCTGCGGTCCAGAGAGACCCTGGTTCAGTTCCCACTAAGAGTGCATACCTTGGTTGCAGTTTGTCCCCGGCCCTGGGTGGTCGTGTGGGTGGCAACCACTCGATGTTTCTCTTTCATGTCAATGTCTCTCTCTCTCTCTCTCTCTCTCTTTCTCTCTCTCTCTCCCCCTCCCTCCCTCCCTCCCTCCCTCCCTCCCACTCTATCTGAACAAAAAATGGAAAAATGTCCTCGGGTGAGGATTAAAAAAAAATTGCTCAAAGTTTCTTGGGAGAAGCAACGTTTTCTTTGTAAAGGACAGCCTTTGTTCTGCATGCAGTGCTGATCCTGATCAATGAGCAAGTACTGGGGATCCACCCAATTCGTCTCTCCCACATTACGGAAACTCTGTGTACAACACATTCAGGCCTTAGACGCATCCACGTATATGTGAAACTGATAGTGTCTCAGGACAAAGCCCAGAGGCTGAAATCCACTGGTACTTCGTATCACCTGCATCCAAGGACAGAGAAGCTTAATATCTGATAAAGCTCACACTCCCCTTAGATTTCCCAGGCACAGGCAGGTGGAAAGCCCCAGAACAGGGCACTAACTAATCTCCTTATCAGGTGCCCATGGGCATGACGTTTTAGTCTTGCCCTGATCTTTTGAGGACAGAGCTGTGACTCGTGGTGGGACGCTTTTTCCTGGTCCTCCTTGGTGGACTCGGAGGGGAGGGGTCTCCATCCCGCCCAAACTCCTCAGACGTGCCAGCCACACTCCTCCTCCTATCAGACCAGCTGGTCAAACAGAGGATGCCGAGCTCCTTGGGGTTGGGGGTTGAAGTTCCTGTGACACTTAGACACAACCCTAAACTGTGTCCCTGAGCAGATAAACAGGATGTCCTTTCCCTCCCCTCAGGGCCCAAGCGAGGCCACACAGATGCTGAGTGTGTGCTGTACACGTCGCGTCAACACTTACACCGCGACAGAGAGCTCAGCTAGGCCTGTTCCCACGCGACAATGCTGTCTTCTCAGACAGTAGAAGGCCCGTTTCAACTTTCCCAGATAAATAAGGGGCTAGGTCCGTTCTGCCTTCACTAGGACCACGTTGGCCACTGTCCCCAGGATGGGGCTGCATCCCCTAGAGATTGTCCCCTTCACCTCACTGGCATGATCGCACGTAGCCTGCCACGAGGTCTCAGATGAATGTCTGTCCTCCGCAAGACCTCTGCCCTGCCATGGTGTCCCACGCCCTGGTTGATGTTCCAGAGCGTCCTGTGCTTCTCCCTTCACACTGCTGCTCATGGGCAACTGTTCAGGGTCAGCTTCCTTTCCGGCCTGTGGCCAGTGCAGGGCCATCTGTCTCGTTCTGCATTCCCGAACCTACGGCACCCCTGATCCTGAATTACTGGCACAGAGCTCAGTGACTATTTCACTGAGTGGATTAATTACTTAGATGATTAGCTTTGTAAATTACACCCTCTGCATAGCTCTACAAGGGACATAGAAGAAACCAAATTTGCTTCCCTGGGGGAGCTCCATCTAATTTCCCCGATTCATGCAGAAATGAGACAGTGATGTCCGACCATGGAGAGAACACAGAAGAAGGACATGGTTACATGGGCCTTATCCTTCAAAAGAGGGGCTTACGCCTCTTTCGTTCCCACCTCCCTATCTTTGCTCTTGCTGTTTTCTCCACCTGGAGTACTCTCATCTCATCTCGAAGGCTCCAAGGCCTCCCCAGTACCCAAGGCCAGTTTCAGCTGCTAGGCCATTCGTCCGGATCCCCAGACACTGAGGTCACTGAGTGTGCCCTCAACTGGGCTGCCGTTGTATTCAGACCCTCTCCGGGAGGCCGAGCGCCATTGCGTGCGTACGTGCCTCTGTTCAACACATATGTGTCCAGCACCTCTGGGTACTGAGAACAACCCCTGACCTGGGGTAAAACAGGTAAAATATAGACTGTATCAAATGGCAACAAATTCTGCAGGAAATGAAGAATGCAGGGATACATGTGGCAGTTGGGGGGGTGCCGTGTTAGAGGGTGGTCACAGCCGTCCCTCTGTGGAGACACGTACACAGAGGCCCGGGGGAGGCGAGGGGCCATGCAGGTGAAGACAGCAGGAAATGCAAAGCCCTGCAGTGGGGTCACGCCTGGTGTTTCCAGGGAACCGAGAGTCAGCCCTTGGAGCTGGACAGGAGGGGGAGGGGGCTCAGAGGGCTTGGCCAGCCCCGGCCCTGCCGGGAGATGGGAGGAGAAGTCATTGCAGTGTCGCCATCTGACCCACCATGTGTGGACCCTCCCTGGCTGCTGGGTTGACACCAGACTGCAGGGGGGCAAAAGAGGCGAGAAGTAGAGCTACTTTTTCTGGAAGGGGTTTGCTCATCTACGGAACCCTACCGCTACGTGATTTCTACCTTGAGTTGGGGACAGCACGTTACCCCAAAGTAGCTGCCACATACCAAGTGTTCAGCTAATGTTTGCAAACATGGCAGGAAAGAAGGGAGGAAGAGAGAGGGAAGGTGCAGAATCCAGTCGCAAAGGAAAGCAGAGGAGAGCAGACATTCCAGGCTGAGACAGCTCCAGAAAGAGCAGGAAACAGGAAGCCTGTGCTAGAACTGTTGCCACAGCAACAGACAAGTGCCTTGGTGGGTAGCAGCCCAGCCAGCGAGTGCAGGGCCTGGAACATCCTCTATCCCTGAATCACTTGTGCAGAGTCAGCTGCTGCCCCCGCCCAGGAAGCGGCTCCCCTGGAGTGCTTCTCTCAAGAGCTCTCTGAAAGACCAAGGGCACTGCACCCGAACTGACCCCCAACAACCACGGAACAGCAGATGGAAGGCGTGCACCCCGCACACAGGTACAGGCCTGTCCCCAGCTTGGAGTGACTCCTAGGAGCTTTTGCCATTCAGGATCCACCCACCTCCCTCATTCTTTCTCTCCCCTTGTCCTGCAACCCTGCCTCCGATTATGTCGCTCTGTTTCCGTGCCCCTTCCAACTGTGTTCTCGTTTCCTGGGCAACCCCATCTCAGGAAGCCATGATGAGCCTGCTCAGAAATAACACCCCCAACAGATTCATGCTCACTCCCAAAGCGCTGAATGAGATCTCTCTTGCTTTCCACATAAACAGCTAGAAATCTCCCCAATACTTCGGTTCTTCTTACTCCTTTTCTGAGACTCAGGCATTCTGTTTGATGTGGTGCAGACCTCCTATTAAAATCCCCTTCTTCTTGGGGGAATTTAGAAGACATCCAAGAGCAAAGCACTAGTGAGTATACACTGGTCCCAGTGAAAGTTGAAGTAAGCTGACATTTTGGAAAATGGTTCGTCTGACCTATGTGATGTGGGTTATGACGCTGGAATTTAGTAAGTGGTGAGCTTGAATCTCCCACTTTGCAAGTCTTCTTAAAGCTTCTTGGCAGAGCGTTTGAAGCTCTGGGGTTGAAAACACACATTTTTATTCCATGTTGCTCTTTGACGCTTTGTCCACATCAGTCCCGTGAGTGACCTGTCTGCCCCTGAGGACGGACTGAGCTGATGGAACATAGACATGCGTGGTCTGGCGCCATTCTGGGGACACATCTGCTGAGAGTCCTCAGGGGCGGCTCTGAGCATCGGCCGCGTGTGGCATGGTTTGCTAGTGCCACAAGCTGATGACAACGTGACTCACACAGAATTGGCTCGTTCAGAAGCACTGGCTGTTCTCCAAGCTGGCGTTCTGGTTTTGATCATGCATCTTCATTCACAGTCGGGACCCTTCCAAGATGTCTGCTGGAGGAGGCAGCCTTGCGCTCGCCCTGCAGTCCTGCCGGGACGCCGAGCTGGCTGCTGCAGGCCCGGTCGCGGCCTGGCTCCCGCCGGCCCTGCCTCTGAACCGCTCGCTCTATCCTGTCCCAGCCGCCAGACAGCAAACACAGAAAACATTTAAAAAGCATCCTCTGGCATTAATAAGTTAAGAATTCTTCGCTAAGATTTCAAATGTCTAAATTGTTACCCTTTTGCTAAAATAAAAATTACATTCATCCCGTGCTGATTATGTCAGGCCTTGAAAAAGCTGGTCCCTCTCTATGGAAATAGTGCGGAGAGACCAGGTCCCTTCTCTCTTTAATGTTGGCGCGGCCCGCTCCTCCAACTGATCAGTCGTCGGCTCACCCACAGGCTCTGTCTTTGTGTGTCCAGCACCTTTGCTGCATCTGAGCAGAAATGCGTTCTTCACTCACTCAGCAAGTAGTTTTACATCTTTTCTGCGTTCATTTCACTATCCTAAATGTCGTACTGTCCTGGGAAGTTGTTGATGGGTAGCCAGTGTGATGATCCCCAAGCTTCCTAGGTGGAGACAAAATGGCCAGTTGGATGATTCTGCCATGTAGCATTTCAGTTGTTTAAAATGGAGAAGAGAATGGATGGATAGATAATTGATAGATCAATAGATAGATAGATAGATAGATAGATAGATAGATAGATATACTTAATTCCCGAATCTTCACCTGATAGAGCATTCTCTCCCTCCCTGTCTCTCTCTCTCTTTTAGATATAATTCCCAATTTACCAAAAGATATGAAAACTCAACCCACACAAAGTTATAAAAAGACAACCTGTCTTCATTACTCTGCCTACAGCCCCGACAAATCCCTTATAGGTACTTAGGAATACTAGAGGCTTAGCTCTGTGTCATAATCCTTATATACCTGGGACTTAAGTAACTAGGAAAGAACACACATGATCTGTGCACTTAATGCTTCTGCTGAGTTGAATATTTACAGACATTGGCAAGCTTCTCTTATTTTAAGCCTGAATTAGTACTTGTCCTTTCATGAGGGAAAGGAGAATCAACACTCCTATTGCTCTGACAGCAGGCCAGTCAGCAGTCTGATAATGCCCAACTTTTTATGGCAAATCACCAAACATTGATGACCTCACCATCAGAAACACGTGCACACGCGCATACATACACATTTACTACAGTAAATACGGTAAATGCAGATGTACTGTAGAGAACCTGGAAAGTACAAAAGTAAAAAAGAAGTCACCTGTTCCACTAACTAGAGGTAACCGCCGCTGTAAATCCTTTAATACATCTGTTCCTTTTTTCACTAACAAGGACAGCAGTATTAGAAAATGAAGGTCCTAGCATATTTATTATTTTGTGTTCTGTTTTCTTTTTGCATTTATTGTGAATGTTTTCTCGTGTCACTAGATATTTGATTTCTAAACCCAAACGCCCATGGCAGTGCAGTCTTCCATCACAAAAGTATACTATAATTCATGTCGCCATCTCCCCACTTGGGGGATTACAGCTTTCCTGTTTGCTGGAAATAACACTGAATGAACATCCACAGACAAAAGTCTTTGTGCACAGCACTGTTTCTTCAGCATCAATTCCTAGACCTACGATGACTGGGCCTCTGACACTCAGGAAGCCACGGTGGGAACACGCACTCTTTACCAGACTCGTGTCGGTGCGGAGTCTGTGGGTCCTGGCCAAGTTTCAGGCAGCACCAGCGAGAACCCAGCCTGCCTTTCTTGTTTTCTGTTTTAACTTCTTGTTTTCTGTCCAACGTGTTTTCTGTTTTAACTTCTGAATGTCCAGCCAGGTTTAACCTCCAGTAGCCCAGCAAATGTTCCTTTCACTTAGAATCTATCAAACTTGAGAAACGAACTGGCCATAACCTCTCCTCTGCAGTCAGCTTTCAAAGCAAATCCTGCTAAAAATCGACATCGACGTGGAGAAGCCTGACACCAGTGACGGAAATTCACCCCAGTGCCCATTCACTGAGGAAGCCCGCATGCCTGGCACCAGCCAACACGTAGAGCAGTGATAAGACCCCCCACCGAGGCCTCTGCAGACCAGTTCAGCAATCGTGTGCTCTTCCAGACTTTGTTAGCTAGGTGTGGTAGGCACTATCATTCCATGACATAAACAACGTGGGACAAAGTTGGTGTGTGTAAATGTCTCCGTTACTGGGAAGACTGCATCTGACTTCCTGTTCTCTCCATGTGTCCGTGCAGACCTACTTCTTCACCGAGGAGAGCCCAGTCCAGGAGTGTCCCGAGACTGAGAACTTCGTGAGCGGGGAACAGGACCTCAGAGAGGAGAGAGAACGGAGAGAGGTGAGGGAGGACAAGGAACAGGAAGTCCCTGAAAATGCCAACACGGAGAGGATCTCTGTGGAGACGCTGCTCAAAGTGTTCCAAGGACAAAGCAAAGCACAAGACGCCAACCGCTTCGCCAGCCACCTGATGACAGAGAACATTTACGCAGAGGTTGGTGAGATGGGCAAGGGGGCGATCTGGGCATAAGGGAAGTTGCCCCAAGTTGGAGCATATTTTTAGGGAATTTCTTAAGTACATTTTTTAACATCTGCAGAATTGTAAAGTTTATTTTATTTTTTATCTTTCTTAAAGAACTTCATAAAAGTATTTCAGGACCTGGGTGCCAAGAATCTGGAGCCAATGGAAGTCACTGTTCTTTTGAAGCATCCTTTTATTCAAGACCTGATTTCAAGTTATCCCGCCTATAAAATTCCTGTGAGTATCCCCCAAAGGCACCCTAGATTGGCTGAGCTCTGGTTCAGAGCATCGTGGGACATTTCAAATGCGGGTGAGCAGAGAAGGGGGAAAGCTGGACTCGGCCAGGATAGGCTCTGCAGAAGCTGAGCTGGTAATAGCTTCGGGCCAGGCAGGCCAGCCCGCAATACCCAAGGCTCCAAGGTCAGGCACAGTGCAGGTAGCTCTCAGTACTTGGGATACTCCCAGTGCCATGGATGACACTAGTAATTCTAGGGGTAATACTCTCAGGACAGTGGAGCTGCCTCACCAGGACTGTGGGGCTACCTTGGATCTACAAGAGCAAGCCGGAGGTAGGTGATAGTTAAGGCTGGGTGGAGGGCAGCATTAGTGTTCTGATCATCCCAGCCACCTAATGACCCTAGCCTGTGATCGAAAAGCTTGGAAATAAAATCCTTCCTTGCCAAGGAGAGGTGAGGAGACCATGATCCCCAGCCAAGAGCTGACATATGCATGGCCCACATTGTCTGTGCCGTACATATGGTCACAGTGCCTGAGAAGGATTGGGTGGCATCAGGGAAACAGTGTCCAACATGAGGAAACTGAAGACAAAACCCATAAAGACTAGACAACCCAGCGGAAGGACGTAACGATGAACTGCACGTCGGAGCTCACACAGTAACTAAGCACGTTCCAACTGCACGTTGAACTTGGAAGGAAGAGGTTGACCCGCTCCAGAGAGTGGCAAGTTGCTGTAACCCTCTCAGATGCCGGTTCGACAGCATCAAGTTCTCTTACTTGGCTCCTGCTAGCTGTGTGTTGGACTAAAATGTGTTTGCTGAGTTTCAGATCAAAGCACTTTCACTTTGATACAATACCAGTGTGTAAGATGCAGCTCTCTTGACTTCCCAGTGATACATTCCTAGGTCCAGAAATGAGACCATCCAGACTTAAATATCTTTGTATCTAGATCTATTTGTTCTGAATTGGTAATCTTTTCTTATACGACTTTTATTACCTATATTAGGAATAATTGAAATTGACTTCTAATAAGCTAGCAGACCCTAAGCACTAGTAGTAAAGTATGATGACGGCCTTTAGGAACACAGGCTTTGGGGTCAGAAAGTCATGAGACTGAACCTCAGGTCTACCACTCCCTGGATACCTGACTTTAACTCTCTCTCTCTCTCTCTTTTATCTTTACTATTGAGAGTATTACAGATGTCCCCCCTTTTTTAACCCATTGACCCCCTCCAATCTGCTCTCGCCACCCCCACCCCCCAGGCCTTCACAGCACTGTTGTCTGTGACCATTGGTTATGCATATAAATTCTTGGGTTTATCTCTTCCCGCCTTCCCCCGCCCCCTTCCCTCTGAGATCTGTCCGTCTGTTCCTTGCTGCCATGTCTCAGCTCTCTCTGGGTTGTGGCTTTCTCGTCTGTTAAATGGAGATAACAGCCAGTTTTAGTCAAAGGGTTGTGGTGAGGATTAAATGAGACTGTGTGTCCGAAGCACTTGCCATGGTATCTGACACCTGGCAAGAACTAGGGAAAGGCTGGCTGTTATGGTTACCACCGAGCATCACTGCTGGCGCCAGTACCAGGCGGGTCCATGAACACCCAGCTCAGCGGCTGCTCTCCAGCAACACACTTCTGTCTGCAAGAGAACTTTTCCCGCAGGAAGCACATGAGAAGGATATAAGGTGACTCACCCAAGCACACAATTATGGGCATTCTAAACATAGGGCTTTTGTGGGTGTGGATGCCAGGTGACTCTCTAAGGACAGCCAAGGTGTGGACAGCGGAGGGAGAGGGGAGGGTGTCTCCCTGGCATTTGCTGTTGGGGTGGAGAGGAGGCGGCGTCCTGCGTGAGAGAGAGGCCTGGGCAAAGATTGGAAGGGCATCTGAAGGGCAGTGTGCGAAGGGCTCGGCGAGCCCATCGGAGCAGCAAGATCAGGCCAGATTGCACAGACCCAGAGGTCACCCAGGGAAACGTGGATTTGATTTGAAAAGCGATGGAGAGCGGTGGACTTGTGAGCAGGGTTGTGAAATGGCATTAATTTCCCCATCTCTAAGTGTTTCCTTGTCTCTTAACCATATCAGATCATTCTGTCTCTACATTTTCTAGGACTCTCTTTAAAAATTATCTGTGTCTCTTCATTTGAATGGGTTCGAAATATTTGGAAACGCAGTTGGCAGTTATTCCAAGCTGCTGTATTTGCACATCCACAAACATTTACTGTTTGCCCTGAAACTAGTATGTTGCAGTCTCTCTTCAGCATCTTCTCTTTCATTCGTTCATTAGTAAAGATCAGCCTTCTTCCCTCTTCAGATGGGGAAGGCATGAGGCAGTGCAGCCCTGGGGTCCGTGGGGATGGAGCACATCAGAACTAGACAAAGGGGCGGTGAGAGGCAGGTGACTGATGTCACACGCAGGACGTGGGAGTTGCCAGCTGTGGGGCCCTGCCCCCCTTTTTTTCCTCCTGACAGACATCATCCTGGGTAAGGTGGGTTCCAGAAGCCCATGACCTTAAACTGCATTTCATCCCATGTCTTCGTTCTATTTCAGGGAACAGCCCTTTTGTTTTGAACCAGTAAAAGAGGTTTCAAAATCCCTAGGAACTCTGGCAATAAGATTCATCTTATATTGCCAAGAATAAGTAGGAGCATAAAATGATACCACAAGTATTTTCTCCCCGAGTGGGAGAAAAACTCCCTTCACAGGACAATTTGGGATCATCCACACTCTGCCCAGAATGACCAAACATGGTTAGCCTGCAGAGATCTTTCGTCACTTTCCTGAGAAAGGACACAGCCCACAGCCCTGCCTCCGCCCCTGGAGAGGCATCCACGAGGCTCCTTTTAATGTGTCCTTCCCGCGTTTGGAAGGAGTGTCTTCGATTCGCAGACACCTTCGCCGAAGTCCTGCTGGCAGTTTGGATGTGTTTCCTCTGCCCAGGACTGTCTCCAGTGGGGCAGGACATCTAACATTTCAGGCCACTATCCACTATATTCCAAGAGCATCTTGAAGTATTGATCCCCAAACTACCTCCGCACATTCCCCAATGTTCCCTGGCTCAAGGTGCCAAGCTGCAGTGGCCCATTTTCCACCGCACCAGGATGGCCTGACACTCTCCTAGCAGAAAGAGTCTGTCAGCCCGTTCGTCTCATGATCTTGCGTTGCAGAAGGCTTTTGCTGAGTCAGCTTCTTCAACTCCCCTCCCCTGACCTTCACATCTGCCCCGTCACTCCACTGCGGGATCTGTGAGAGTCAGGGACACAGCATCAGGACTTACTCATGACTGCAAATCAAGGAGACGAGCCTGCAACCTGAAAAGGCTTAATTCTGACATTTTAAAATGAAGAAGTTCTCTTTCCAGTAATACGCTCTATTCTTATTTTCACTAAGCAAAAACAGAAAGAGAGAGAGAGAGAGAGAAGGGAAGTAAGGATGGAGAGAGGGAAGAAGAAGAGAAGGAGTAGGGAGGGGGAGGAACGAAGAAAAAACAGAGAAAGAAAAGAAGGAGGGAGGAAAGAAGGAAGGAAGGGAGGGAGGGAGGGTAGAGAGGAAGGAAGGAAGAGAGAAGAGAGGAAAGAGAGAGAGAGAGAGAAAGAAGAGAGAGAGAGAGAGGAAGAGAGAAAGAAAGAAAGAAAGAAAGAAAGAAGAAAGAAAAGAAAGAAAGAAAGAAAGAAAGAAAGAAAGAAAGAGAAGAAAGAAAAAGAAAGAAGGAAAGAAGAAAGAAGGAAAGGGAAAGAAAGAGAAGACTTGTCATCATTTTTCACTCCGGTTATCCATGTACAAGTAAATAGATCACATTTTTAAATGAACTTTAACCACAGTGATGTTATTTGAAGATCTCTCAAGATAAGTAGAGCAAAAGCTAGAGTGTGGTTTTTCAGGTTAAAATGTTGTTTACTGTTATAAACAGTGGGAAGTGAAGGTTGTTGCCTAACAGCTCTGTTGGGCAACAGCTCTGTTTACAAGATTTGTGTTTTGAAGCAGCAACATTTTGAAAATATATATTTGAAAAACCAAGTATGCATAATTATTTTCATATGTTTTATTTTGGCTCTTGCTAGAGGGTGGCCTGGCTTTGTGGTTAGGAAAGCAGGCTCCGGACCCACTGATTGAACCCAGTCAGTGCGCAGGGTTCATACCAACAAATTGTGTGATCTTGGGCAAGGGACCTCCTGAGGCCTTGGTTTCCCCATCTGTGAAATAGGGTTAATTATCACACCTCATGGGGTTCTTGTATGGATTAAATTACTTAATACATATAAAAGTGCCTGGCAGATATAAGTCACTCAATAAATGTTAGACATTAGTGTTTTTGCTGTTATTATCGGTGGTATGTTGGTAATTGCAGTGCACAGGAAATATTTCTGAGCCGTGTAACATTATATATGGAAGAACCAATAGGCTGGTATGTTCATCTCTTGACTTCAGCGTCTGCTCTCGGAGAGAAAGAAAGCTGTCTCTGGTGCAGGGCCACGATGACAAAAGATTCAAACCGAAGCCTCAGGAAAACCCACATAGAAAATTCAGATTTTATGTTGGATTTTACAGCTGTTCAATTAACTTCTACTAGATCTGATGAAAAAATGTTATTTTCAAATAATATTCCTAAATGATTAAGAAAATGCTTGGTTTAAATGTGAGAAGAGTAATGAGAATACTGTAACTTGGTTATTAGTGAGTAAAGTCAATTAATTTCCTATGACAAATATTTTTGCAAATGCAAATAAACACCCGGTTTTCTACACCAACCTCACAAATGTAGTTTCTTAAATCTGAGTACATGCAGGTTTCTTCTAGCAAACCTCTAAATGAAGCATCTAGCCCTAAAATTAAGGTTTCCCTGCCATGGGCGATAATGATAAATCTTTTAGTGTTAAAATCAGAATGTCACAGGAGAATGTGTGTGAAGACCCAATTACAGGAGGACAAAATACCTGTAAATATAAGTATGACTAGAAGGGACTCTCATCCTAGTGTTGTCTTCAAGGTCTGACTTTAAAGCAGGCTCCAACTTCTCCTGTATCTTTATGACAAAACACGATGGCTGCTTCAGCGCCTTGTGTTTTCAAAGCTCCTAGGTCAAACATTTCCAGACTCTCTGAAACTGTTCTCAATCAACTGCTCCTAAAAATTATAGCCACTGATTTCAGCTATAAACTTGTCCAAGGTTGGTTTAAATGTCTGGAGTTTATAATTCTCCCTGTGCTGTGGAGTGTTAGCAAATCACAGGTCAGCTCATCCCTCGATCCCCGAGTTGACGGTCGGTCGTCAGCATTAGCTTTGGTACACGCACTAGTCACGGAAGACCTGTTGGTCAGAGCCATGTGGGTAGGACTAGTCATAGCTGCAGCCATTCTTCTTCTATGAGTTCACTCGAGCCTGGCCTCTGGATGTAGAAATTCTGTGTTTTCAAAGAAACATTCCCTCAAGAAAATAATTCGCTCTGATTCCTGGCAGTGACTTGCATAAGCAACGCGTGTGTCACTCAGCAGAAGCAACTCGTATCTGTGTGAGCGACATGACCACAGTCAAAGTGAAACCTTTGGAACTCAGCTCTGAAGAAAAGAAACTTGTTCTTAAAGCACTTCCCTAAATCTGTGTAGGGGGAAACAAATTAGAAACTGCATAAACGTAACTCTACATTCTCTACGTGTTTGTACCCTTTCTACATCGTGACAGTATTTCAAGGTTTTTTTGTTTTGTTTTTTTTTAAATATCTGTGATCTAAAATGTAACAAAGCCGGGTATTTTAAGTGGATGAAAGACAGAGTCTTCTATTCCTAATATTAAAAAACCATGAAGAGATGAGCAAGTATGGTTCAGTGGATTGAGCATCATCCCATGGACTGAGAGGTCACAGTTCGATTCCTGGTCAGGGCACACGCCTGGGTCTCAGGCTCGATCTCCAGTGGGGGACATGCAGGAGGTAGGCGATCAAGGTTTCTCTCTCACATCGATGTTTCTGTCTCTCTCTCTCTCTCCCTACCTCTCTCTCTAAAAACATTTTTTTAAAATCCTCACCGGAGAATTTTTTTTTTCTATTTAATCTTCAGATAGAGTGGGAGGGAGAGAGAAGGAGAGAAACGGAGAGAGAGAAACATCAATGTGAGAGGGACACATTAACTGGTTGCCTCCCACAAGACCCTGACCAGGGGCGGGGATGAACTGCAACCAAGCTATGTGCCCTTGACCGGAATCGAACCCAACACTCATTGGTCCACAGGCTGATGCTCTAACCACTGACCAAAACCAGCCAGGGCGGTAAAAACATATATAAATAAATAAATAAAAATTTTAAAAAACATGAATAAATGAGGCAGTCCTCACCCCCTCAACATCCTACTGTTCTAAAAGTCTACAAATCTGTAGACGTGACTAATTTAGCATTAGAATTTGCCTTTAATAGAAGGTGAATACTGCTTTTAATTCATTTAATAGGGAAATCATCTTTTGGCTTACCCATTATGTGCCAAACACTGTGTAATTACTATTATAAATGTTATTTAATCTAACATGGAAATTCCATTGTTAAATGAGGAAACGCAGGCTCCAAGGTCTTCGACATCTTTCCAAGGGTACAGCTAGGAACTTGCAGGGCAGGGTCAAACTAAAGAGAGAGCAATTTTATCAAAGGGAAAAGAAAACAACTTTAATCACTGCCATATAGTAAATGATTGGTAGTCCTGTCATTTATAAATGTTTGTAACTTCTCTTTGAATCTCTTCTCTTAGGATATTAAAATAATTCTCCAAAGGAATGAGCATGTGCAAGGAAGTGATGAAGAGAGATCTCCCTCAAGACTTACAGAGGAAAAGAAATGAAAATGAGAGTGTGATTTGTACAAACTGGCGATGTAAACATGGTGTTTGGCATGTGTTTATTGTTGTAAGTGTAGAAATGACCTTTACCAGATTATGAGAGAAACTGAATAACAGAATTCTTTAACTCTGAGAATATTCTGTAATAAATCTTACATTTCTGAGCAAAAATCCAAAGTGAGAAAGAATGTATTTTTTTTTTTATTTATCCTCACCCGAGGACATTTTTCCATATTTTTGTTCAGATAGAGTGGGAGGGAGAGAGAGAGAGAGAAACATCGACATGAAAGGGACACATCGAGTGGCTGCCTCCCACATGACCCAACCAGGGCCGGGGACAAACTGCAACCAAGTACATGCCCTTGCGGGAACCGAACCCGGGTCTCTCTGGACCCCAGGCCGAAAGAATGTATTTTGAAGTGATTCTGAGAAATAGAAGGCACCAGAACAAGCTATTCTGAAGTCAGTTCATGAGCAATCCCTGTGAGAGGCACCTGTAGATAAAGCAGATGAAGTGAAAATTCCCCCACAGCTCCACACCAGGGCAGTTCTGATGTGGACATTTTGCGGTTCTTGCTCCGTGTGCAGTTAATTCCAAGATTCATCCCACTACCCATTTCCTCCAAATCTACAAATCTTAGGTTCATAGGTCCAGGAGGTGTCAGCATGGACGACCTGAAATACCACTTCCAGGTCATTTCCTGCCAGCATAGCACTGGCCTCCTGGAAGTTCATGTCAACTGTGACTGCCGTCTCTCCGTCATCCTCTAACCACCAAACTGTCACCCCCTTCAGCATCGTCCACTTTTGCGCCATCTCTCTCTCCTTCTCCCCCCCCCCCAAATATTACCATGTCCTCCAGCTGTTGCTTTTGTGAGATGAAGCCGAAGTCTCTTATCGCAGTTGCTCTGCTCCGGATATCAGTGTGGCATTGCACAGGATCATTCATGGGCCTCCATGTAGCCTCAGGAAGAAGGTAAGCAATGCAGACTGAATGCAAAGACACGGGAATTTGTTTTGGAGTGGAGTGTTGGTGGAGTGACTTTAGCAAACACAGAAGACTCATCCCATGAATAATTCATTATGTCTCTTCCTCAGCGGACTGTTAGCTCTAGGCGATACTGACCAGGTCTGTCTGATTCACCTCTGTGACACAGAACATCAAAGAAATCCAAAGAAAGCTACAGAATCTGTGTTTGACACAATGTTGGGAAGGATTTGAATTACATTATGTTTACTAAGACAAAGAAGACCCAATAACAAAGTTAAAATATTAATAATAGGTAACAATAAGTAATAATAGCAAATATTATTGAGGGTTTCCCTGGAGTCAAGAGTGTGCTGAGATGCCCTGGCCGGTTTGGCTCAGCGGTTGGAGCATCAGCCTGCGGTACAGAGAGACCCGGGTTCGGTTCCCGCTGGGGGCATATACCTCGGTTGCAGTTTGTCCCTGGCCCTGGTTGGTCGTGCGGGTGGCAACCACTCGATGTGTCCCTTTCACGTTGATGTTTCTCTCTCTCTCTCTTCCTCTCTCTCCCTCCCACTCTATCTGAACAAAAGAATGGAAAAATGTCCTCGGGTGAGGATAAAAAAAAAAAAAAAAAAAAAAAAGAGTGTGCTGAGAACCATTACGGGCCTGAGCTCACTTCGTTTTCACAACTCTGCGTAGTGGTTACTTTTCATATAATGAAATTACATGGAATTGCCATTTACATGTAATGAAATTGACATTTACAGAGATTATGTAACTTGCCCAAAGTCACACAGTTGGTAAATAATAGACACAGATTATAAACCCAATATTAACCCCAAAAGCCTTAAACAGTACAAATAACCAATTATACAAGCATAGGATGGAGGAATAATGGCTTAACAGTATTTTTAAAAGAAAAAGAAAAGGTTTCTTCCAAGTAAATTGAAACTGATTTGCTGTGGTGTGACCCCTAAAGAAGCCAGTGTCCTCGAGCATGTGTGGTAGGAAGGGAGATGCTGATTTTCCTCCGACCTACAGTGGCCAGACCTCAGCTGCAATTCCGTCCGTGGCCACACATCATATATGCACACTTCCCATGTGCAGATGAACGGATGTATACACACTCAGAAGTGAGGGAATTCAGAATCTTCTAGCCTGAGCCTTGACTAGAGTCATTTTCAACTTAAAGAAAAACAAAGCCATCCCAGCTATTTGAAAAGCTGTCCAGATGCAGTGTCTTTTCTGTGGTCCCCAGGGAGGAGCCACCATTGGGGCGAATGTTGCTGCGTGACTGATTTCAGCTGACCACGTGGAGCTCCGAGCTCCCCGTTGCTGGAGGCAGTCCGAGAGGCAGAATGCCAGGTAACAATAAGTAATAATAGCAAATATTGTCCTGCCCTTACTTCTATTCTGTCCCTACTGAATCGACTTCTTAGCTCTGCTACCCCAACTTCCGCCTCCCCAAAGGGCCCTTTCAGCTGGGTCTCCATCATGTGTGGATCTCACCTTTCCTGACAGTACTTTGACTAGGCTTAGCCCACAATTTGAGCACCTCATAGTTCCCTGCACTGGAATTCCTCCTGGTGGAGTCCAGTGCTACCCTTCAGCCACTGAGCTGTTCCCCTGCCCAGGCCAGCCTGCGGTTCCCTAAGGGAGGGTTGCCATGGGAGCAGAAGGGCTGCAGACATTGGATGGGGCATTTGGTGGATGACTTCATGGCTCCATCCATCTCTGAGGTTCTCTGGGAAGAGCTCCGGCTCCTGACTCCCCATCCCGTATTCATGGCTCTCCTGGTCTCCCACACTCAACCCTTCGGTGAGTCTGAATGAGTCCTCATCCTTTCTCCCTCTCCACACTCAAGTCTTATTGATTTCTCCTTAGAAGTGTCTCTCTCATCTCTCCTCACCTTTCTTCAGAAGCCCTCAGCATCTGTCCTCTGGACACTTGCAATGGCCCTCAATTACCCCCTACTTTCCGCATCTTCTCCCAAATCCCCCATTATCTACCCCAACCCAGCCCTACATGATTCCCAAATAATCTTCCTGGGACTCTGCTTGAACACGCCACACTTTTGCTTAAAAACCTTCCCTCTGATCCCTTGCTGTCAAGTAAATTACACATCTCTTGGAATGTTCTTTAGAATCTGACTCCAGAATCTCAAGTTCACACAGCATCACTGAACACAGCCCCTGGGACTCCTTAGATATTCAATAAGCATGGAATGAATTAATGACTACGGAGGGATGTCTCCTTTTAACAGAAATTCTAGGAGGTAGAGAGGAACTTTTTATAGTAAAATTTTTCCTATAATTTTATGTATCCCTCATGCTAGATCTAGAGAGAAAACTGATTTAATCTTTAAAGATTGTGTGTGTGTGTATGCACGTGCACATGTGCACATGTGTGCGTGCGTGTGTGTGTGTGTGTGTGGTGTGTAGGTGGAAGGAGGATCACATTCCTCCTGCTGCTCTGGAGAAGACTGGTACCTGGTCTAAGCCTGAAAAGGTCAGCCCAGTGGTCCCCACCATCTGGGCTCCCTCTGGGCGCCTCCCAACTTCCTCCCCATTTTCTGTCTAAACAAGGGTGCCCTAGTTCTACCTCTACACCTTGACCAGCTTACTCTCTCTCTCCTATTTTACTGGCATATTTGTCTGAATAACAAATCTATGTGTCCCGCTGGACCAGCTCCTGCCGCCCCCAGCAGGTCTCCTGTCATGTTGTCACGTCTCTGACCCGGACCTAGCCCGGCGCCCTCTGTAAGTTCCTAGAGGCATCGCCAGGGTCCTGGTGAGCTAGAGATAAACAAATCTATCAGCGCACTCACTCTCGGATTCTCAGCGTAAGGACAGAGTAAAATTTTGTTTTCAAGCCTGTGTCAAAACAAATCTGGAAAGAGAGGACACGAGAGTCTCGTGGCTGCAGTTCAAAGCCCCCCGAGGTCCGCGCCGGCCCAGGGCACGGCCTCGAGCACTTACGCTCCAAGCAAACGCTGTTGTGTCTTTGCTCACTTGGCGCTAACCACAGGGAGACAGAGACTCAGCCCTGTCTGCACAGCCTCACCTTGCTGTGCCCCCACAAACCAGTCTGAAACCACAACATCCTCCTCGTCTACGGCAGGCTTCACCGTGCACCCCAAAGGGTGAGAGCTTACTCTCTTCCATGGCCTCACTGGTTGTGCCCATTTCATGGTAGAGCCCCCACAGATCAAGGAGAGCCTTTGCCATTCTCCGTGCAAAGGAGTCTACAGGGACAGCGCCCTGGACTGGACGACACCACCCAGCTCTCTCGAGCTGCAGGAGACCTTTACAATTCTGTTCTGAGGTTAGCTGCCCTTCGTAAAGTTTACCCACTGTGCCAGTGGGATTGTGCGGAAAAATTCTTTAAAATGCTAAGGTACCACTTATAAAAATATGCTGCTGTTATTTCTTTCAGAGGGCAACTTCCTCCAGACTGATAACCTTTAATCGTACATTTTTCTAAGGCAGGTGAGAGAGGTAGCCAGCAGGTAGCAATAAATACTCTTTGACACGTGCCAGCCACTATTCTAAGCAATTTCTAAGAATTAGCTCATTTAATTCTCATCTGTAGGCTACCTTATAAGGTAGGTAAATTACTATCCTCATTATATAGCAAATGGAGCTTAGGGGTACAGGGTTAAGGAGTTCGCCTAACTCACACAGCCAATGAGAGCCTAGAATTCCTGCCCAGGAGGGGAGGGGTCTGTCTCCAGAGTCTTTGCTCTTAACCTTCCACTGTGGGCCAGGCAGAGGCAGCACAAGGTATAACCACGGGTGTAAAGTCCCAGCAGCGCCCCCCACGCTACAGACTGGTCTCTGCAGCACCCTTGAGCTTTGCCCTTCTACTGATGGCACTTTGCTGTCGGAGGCCTTGGCTCATGGAATCTGACTCCACTGACAGAGATACCTGACCTGCAGCGGCCAGCGGGCTGGTCTTGTCCATGTTCCTGATTTCTTTCTTCCTCCCGCCCCCGTTCAGATCTCCCTCTGTCTGACCATGACAGCCCTCGTCA